CTGCAACACTCACCATGTCATCACTTGCTCTGAAGAAGCTTTTGAAAGTCCGACTCAGGTTCTGTTCCAGTTCGGCCTCAGCCACTCCCTAAAACAAATCAAGAAAGCAAAAGGAAGGACTCTGCAGAAATCTTGGGAACCAGAGCCCTCCCCGATCTGACCAAAAGTCGGAAGCTCCCAACCTCTGTCCCATCCAGCCCACGTTTCATTAGAAGTGCATTAGTTTGGATTTTCCGTTGAAACACATGTTTTAAAAGCTTCAAATAAAACACAAGATGCTAACAGCGGTCCCCCCCGGGAAGTGGGTTTATGGTTGTTGCTTTCTTCTGTTTTTCAAAATTCCTACAGTGAGTATGTCTTACTTGTAATAAGCCCTTTAAGGGACTGGGGGAGGGCTCGACAGGAGTAGTTGCTGGTGAGGGAACGGTTCCAAGGATTCCGAGAAGCCAAGTGGAAAAGCCAAAAGTTGTTCCGTTCACGCATCTCCTTTTGCTATGGTAACTTCAAACCCAACCTCTTTGAGTTGGGCCTAAATTATTATAGACCAATTATTATTCCATGCCCATGGATTGTCTCCCAAAGGTCAGGGCAGCAAGGCTGCCTTGGGAAGAGCTGGGACCCATATCCTTTGTGGTGACAGATTACCAGGTCTCCCCGCTCATGGGAGCGTTGTTACACATGATGCCTAACCTAACACATGGTTCTTTGGTCATTTCCAGGTCTCTGACTGGAACTTGCTTCATCTGTTCCATAGATACTGGGCCCCTTCTCTTGCTGGAAACTCAGGGTCTGGATTCCTCAGCTCCCCACCTCCCCTTCTTCTTACCCAAATCCTCCATCTAGGAGCACATACAGACACTAAAACGGGGTGGCAAGGGGCTTCGAGATTCATCAGTGGAGCTAATCTACTGGCTAGTCTCCCGGGACGTGATTTTTTAGGGCATAAAAGAACATTTTAACCCAGTCTTTCTTTTCTGGAAATTGAACGCCCTTGGACCTGAAAGCTGTTATAAAACCTGTGCAAAGAAAGATAGCTGTCCCCGAGGCAGAGACCCCCCCCACCCCCACCCCAGGGCAACTGCTCGGAAAGAATCAAGATCCTTCCCCAACACAGTCCCGAGGAGACCAGTGCTATGGCAGGATCTGAGAAAGAGTATGGCGGTGTTTTAGTCCGTTCCGGCTGCCGGAACGGAATCCTATACACCTGGGAGCTTGTAAACAGACATTCATTTCTCAGGCTGGAGGCTAGGAAGGCTGAGATCAAGGAGCCTGCAGACTCCCTGTCTTCTGACCATGCCCTCACATGCCAGAAGGGGCGAGGGAGCTCTCCTCTGGAGAGGACGCTCCTCCCATTCACGAGGGCACTACCCTCATGACCTAATGCCCCCCAAAGGTCCCATCTCCTGACACCCTCACAGTGAGGATCAGGATTTCAATATGTGACTTGGGGAGGACACATTCAGTCTATAACCCAGTGCCAATCTACTTCTTTCTCCTGCTTTCCAGGGGCTCACCTGAACGTGCCCAGACACCAGCTGAAATGGACCACAGAATGTTTTCTGAGTGGGCACCCTTACTTTCCCAGCTCCCTGATTTAGCAGACTGGAACTTCCATCAAGAACAGCTAGCTCCCAGGGCACCTGGAGGGCGCAGTCGGTTAAGCTTCAGACTCTTGGGTTTGGCTCAGGTCATGACCTCAGGGTCCTGAGATTGAGCCCCCATTGCACTCAGCGGGGGTGGGGGGTCTGCTTGAGATTCTCTCCCTCTCCCCCCATACTCTCTAAAATAAGTAAATCTTAAAAAAAAAAAAAAAACGACACCTAGTTCCCTTAGTGTGGCCTTCAAAGAACCTTCAACACCTGTCCCCAAAACTGCCTTGTCCACAGAGTCCTGCCTTCAGCCATCCCAATAAAATAACTGTATTCTTGTTGGATCCCATAGTGCTTTAGCGTGGCCCCCTCAGGCCACCCTGAGGGCAGGGAAGCATCCACTTGGGAGCATCTGTGACTGGTCGTAGGACCAGCAGGGGCTGAACCTGTATGTTGGTTCCTCTCCTCCCCTTCATGTTCTCAGAGAGGACGGTGCTATAGGCCAAGTCTCTAAAGCGTTCTAGTGACCCGCGGCCCTCTCTGCCCTGCACACATTAAGAAGCCCCGCGATACAGCACTTCGTTTGTTCTGCACATCGACATGGTGAGGGCTCTGGATCTATGAGAAGGCAGCAGGCACGAAAGGAAACACTTATCTTCCGCAGCGCTGGGTCTGCAGTTTGAGATTTTCTGATGCGAGCAATGCCGAAGTGTTCATTACAACCCCCCTCCCATTTGTCAGATTCAATTATGATGGAGATGCGGTCATGACCTTCTGCTCTGCGATCAAACGCCACAGCAAGAAAAAAGCCATGGAAGGAAGTATATTTTAAGTGATCGATAAAAGCCTCGGTCAGCCCTGCCTGTCATATGGGTCATCGCTTTTATTTACTGGGAGCCGTCCTCATCCCAGAAACCGCTGCTGTTCACGAGCCCAGGGTCAGGAGGAGTCTCCACAGGCGCAGAGGTCTGGACAGGGCTTTGACCCGCAAATCGTCCTTAGAAGAGCAGATGGATGCCAAATCGGTCAGTAAAAAATCAAAGGGATCAAAGGGATCAAAAAGGTAAATAAGTCTGTCCACCCACATGAAAGTAGATCAGATCAACAGGGAGAACGAGGACAAAGGTGAGGGCCAGAAAGGGGAGAAGATGATAACATTTGTACTCTGGTCATGTGCCCTGCTGGTATCATCTGGATCTGTAAGTTTTAAAGGTGATACCACATTTTTAAGTCCCACAGACCAATGACAAGCTTCCTGCCTGCCCCGAGGGAGGGGCTCCACCCTCTGTGCTCCTGAGTGGAGCCCTTAGGGCATGGACTTTGGAATCCAGCAAACAAGACTGCAAGTCCTTGTCCTGATACTTAACTGGGCAACTTAATATTTCGAAGCCTCAATTTCCTCATCTATAAAATGGGAGTTTTGTAAGGATTCTACAAGATAATGATAATGCCTATTTCTGAAACGCCAATAAATGGTAATTATTATCACTAATAGTATCCCCATCTTTAAAGTTACTGGACTGCACCAGAAATGTCTATTTTGGGATCTGGTCCCCTCACCAGCCTGTGAGTCTCTTACGGACACACACTGTATCTTATTCATATTTTTGTTCCCATGGTCATAGCATGGTAATAGGAGGTCCCAGGTGGGTAGGAAGGAGAAAGGGAAGTGAGGAAAAAAGGAGGCCAGAATAGGAGAGAAAGACTTTGGTGAGCATGCCTTCTAAATGACTGTGGCTTTTATTTTTCTGCTCTCCACCACGAGCTCATATTCGCCCCAGCTTGCGGCGGGGCTGAGCAGTAACCTACAGAACAGAGACAAATGGTAGAGTCCGCTGTCTTATGACCCAAAGCTATCAGGGGGCAGGCAAACTGAAGACAGCTCTGGGTTCAAAAAGAAGCTCCTAGAACAAAGCCTCTGGAATTCCATGAATCCTGGAGCTTTGTGTCAAGAGTACTCGGAGGTTGTTTAAGGGAGACTTCTTACAGTGTGAATGACTAGAAGTGTAAGGAAACCCACACCTGGGAGAATTCATCAGAATTTCTTGGCCTTTCCAACTAACCACCTCGGCCTCCTCCCTTTCTCTATTTTAAACTTGAAACCACAGAAGCTCATAGCTATGAGGAAACTTCTAATTCTCTTCTCCTTGCTTTCTGTGCCTTCCAGATTAGTATCCTTCGCTTTGTCCTTACTCCTGAGACCTATTTCCCACTGCTGGATAAACATGTCTGTGTGGATATCTTGTCACACTCCTCAATCTGATCCCTAAAATTGACCTGAAGAACCAATGAAGGAAATGTAGTTTTTGGTGAGATACATTTTTATTCATACCCCATTGTTACCACATGCCACTGTAGTGGGCTGAGGAGTGGTCCCCAAAAAGGCCTGTCCAAGGATCTAATACCCAGTACCCGTGAATGTGACCTTGTACGGCAATGGAGTCTGTGTGGATGAGACCATCAGGATCTCGGATGAGTGACAGATTACAAATCAAGGAGTGCCGAGGGTTTCCGGTGCCATCAGAAGCTAGGAGACAGGCATGGAATGGATTCCCCCCTCAGGCCCCCCAGAAGAAACCAAACCTGCTAACAACCTGATTTCGGAATTTAGCTTCCAGAACTGTAAGAGCATAAATTTCTGTTGTTTCAAGCCACCAAGGGTGTGGTAGTTTGTTACAGAAGCCCTAGAAAAATAATACACCACTTCAGGAAATCTCGTGATTGGGAGGGTGGGTGAAGAGGGAAAGGGACTAGGGCCTATGTAAAGGGACTCGGGTTCAGAGGGCCCGGGCACCTGCCCCCCCTCCAGCAGGATGACAGGTGTGCTGAGCACAGGGCGCGGGATCTTGCCCCCAGCCCAGCTTCCTCCCCAGGCACGTGTTTCACTCACTGTTCGAGGAACCCCAGATATGTCGCATACAATGAAGGAGACCAAGTTCTGTCCCCACTCTTCACCCAGAGTGCTGACAGGGGAGGAGCTCTCAATCACCTCATCTGCCAGGGAGGTTCCTACAGCTGGGAGGGCATAGCAGCATCTTCTAGAACTCAGACCTCCTCCCAGAGACATCCTCCTCCCGCGTCCATACCCAGTGGGATTTCTCCTCTCTCATCTCCCCTTTTGCTCCTTCCAAGATGTACAACAGGTCTCTGCCTCAGAAGATGCACTTAATTGGGTCTGTGGTTTCATTGCCGAGACAGTGGAGACAGCAAGGGGCAAGTCCATCAAAGCAGGAGCTCGGGCAGCCTGGCTAAATAAATGATGGTCCACCTGTATTCTGGAGCATCAAGCAGCCGTTGCGACGGATGAGGTAAATCTACATGTATTGGCAGGAAAATCTGTCCGCGCTCTAGTAAATGAAAAAGCAGCATGATTCCAGTTCTATAAAAATCACATGTACGCTCATATGCACATACGCATGCCCCCCGCCCCGCCACACTTAAAAGCATCTTTTAAAAAACCGTCTGGGAAATACTCACTAAACTATTCATAGTAGCTACT